AACCGCTTTACAAGGGAAGATCCCACTTTTAGAGTCCATTTTGATGATGAGAGCAAAGAGACCATTGTTTCTGGAATGGGGGAACTGCACTTGGAAATCTATTCCCAGGTAATTTGGAAAGCAGATTCTACAGATTCTGCTTTTGACTGCTTTCCCAACCAAGAATTCTCCTTTCTGGCTGAGACCAAAATCTATCTGCAGATGGGCTGATGCCAGCCTTTACACCTGGCATAAAACTACCCAATTACGCCTGGTAAAAAATTACCCAATTTTGTAATTGGGTGCCTAAGCACACGCCAGGTTTACCAGATGTTTGGAGGTATACAACTCCACTTGCTTTGGTGTAAATCAGGGTTATTGTGTGACAACTGTCTTGAGATCTTTCAAGCAGAAGGCACCATGGCATTAATATGAACAAGGCTAGCTGCTTAGGGAAGAGCTTAACTTCTGAGTGAACTTCTGAAGATTCTTTCTCTCCAGTGGTTCTATATTGAAGGCTTGCAGTCTATTTAAATGAAACTTCTGCCTGGAATATTTTTACTTTTTGGTTCAAATCCATAACAAATTAAGCACTACACTTCTGCTTTAGCAGCTTTTCCTTATAATGAATTTCACTGTTAGCCATTTCCTACAGGAGAGAGAAATACTCAGTTTCTGTGTTTTCAAATGTATCGTTCTATAATAAGAGATGATGCAGGCAGGAGGGAATAGTTACTTACAGTGATTTATTTTCTTTCAAGTTGATGTCTGTATTTTAATCTAACACATTAGAGGTATCTGAAATGTTGACAGAATGAAGAAAAGATGTCTTTGTCTTGAAAAACTTAAACTTGACTAAAATAATTAATGCTGTTCCCTTTTCCTGTAGCCAAAGCTATAGGCCCTCAACAAGGTTGACTACAGAATGACAGTGAATAATTTGTAACATTTAAACAAAACAACAAAAAACCCCCCACCAAGACCCCCCAAATCAATTCCAAACCAAAAAACTGGTTAACCCTGATTAAGTTTCTCATTTCAGAAAGATCTGTAAATAAAATAATTTCCAGTGTATTGTTCCAATGGAACAACTCTCTATGTCGTTCTGGTTTTTTTTTTCCTGCAGCGAATGGAAAGGGAATATGGTTGCCCTTGCACCATGGGAAAGCCAAAAGTTGCCTTTAGGGAGAACATCTCCGCACCTGTGCCGTAAGTATTCGTTCTGGCAACAGAGGTTTTTTTAAATTCATTTTGATGCAGAATTTGATTAGGTAGCACATAAAGTGCCATTTGGATTATCAGATCAAAGCACAATGTACAGGAAAAGTTTAAGTGAGGAAGGACTCTTTTCTTCGTACCTTGATTGCATATCCACCCTCATCAACCTAGCTGCCCTCCCTTCCAACGCTTATTGTAGCATTTGAGCTTCTTCCATTGCAGTATCAGGTGGTCCCTCATTCCGATGCGTGTTTTGGCTGACGGCTGTCCTGTGTTACTTGAACACCGTGCTGTGGGTGCCAGAGAACTGTCATTTGCCAGGGAATGATCTCCTGTGGGTAGAAAATAAAAGTGTAGAAAGTGAGAAGGTATTTTCTTTGAACAATACCGAAGGGGAATTGACTGCTGTAGTACAACAGGGCTGATGTAAGGAGGTCGATCAAGGACCAGTAGCAGTGCAGGGTAAGCACTATAACACGCAGTTATAGCGCAAGCTTTTTTCAGCCTGTGTTGTACTCCATGCTGCTGCAGCTACACTTTCTTTCATCTGGGCAAGTTTTGCAGCTCAAGCGTGTCTGTGTTGGATTACCCCTCTTACGGTTAGTGCTACCTGCCCTTCACCAAACAGGGTGCAATGAAGAACCTATGCTTTTGTCCTGCAACTAGTTAGCTACTACTTTTCATTCATTTTTCTTCATAGAAAACTTAGAAACTAAAATGATTATAGATGCCTCAACTGAGAGTGCAGTGGGATAGGAAGCGGTGGAGCTAGAAGTGGGAGTGAGATCTCTGATTGTTATCAGTGGGTGATTTATTACAGGAGGTTGCACAATCGAGAGCTGCTGGTTTAATCGAGAGCTTCTGGTTTAATACTCTCGAAATTTTCTGTGTTTTTTCTTACAAAAACACTTGCTCAGATCGCAAAGTTAGGATGGAGAATAACACAGAATGTAAATACTGTTCTGGGAACCAAAGTTTCGCCTGCTTTCTTCTGAGAGCTCCTGGGGCAGATGATGCCTCTGTGTATGGGTCCACCACTGCTCTCCTCTAGTGTTGAAAAACTCTGCAGCTCCAGCTGGAATGCAGTTAAGCAGTCCAGGATGCTGGCAGCTGCTGCTTCCCTTTATCCCTGGCCAGTTTGGCAATAGTATCTCCCATGAGCAGAGCGCCTTGAATGACCGGTGTGTTGAACCTCTGCCATTCCCAAGGCGGCCCAGCAATAGCTGAAAATTACTGTCTGCTGACACAAGCTGGAGGCCTGTTGCCTCCTGCCTGCATAGGGGCAGAAGCCGATGATGCCGAGACAGACCATGATCATTGCCCCAACCTCACCCTGTTTGCTAACTGACCTGCAGGCATCAAACCTGTGACTGCCCCGCCATCTGCGTGTCTGAGTTGGACGTTACGCAGTTGGCAGTCTTAAAAAAGGGCTTTTTAGAAATAAGGCTTTACCTGGGACACCATTTCGTGAAGTAGAATCGTGTAGTCAAATTCAAGATATTCATCACTTCTTTTCTGGAAAGACAAGATGAAAAGGGCTGAATTTGGGGCTTCCCCTCACCTTAAAAGCAGTGAGTCAGTTCTCTTTGGTTAGCATAAAAGTTCTCTAATATATTTCAGATGAAACTGGCAGCTCGTGTTAACAAATAAAGCAGATGGAGCTTAGTCACTGTAACAAAACAAAAGAGATTGTCCTGTATTTCTGTGAACTCCCAAATTGCATTTGAGAGACTGAATGTGAAACTCAAAACTGTGCTAATTCCTCCCTTAAAGAAGCTAGATATCTGTCAACTTCAGGAACTTGTTTGGGAAGGGAACACCTCGTTCTACAAGGTGTCAGTTTAACCCAAATAATCCTAAATAAAATTGTCAATAGGATAAGACTTGGAACACACTCCAGAGGCCTTACAGTGGATAACAAGTTATCAGTGATTGAGTGAGCGATGTAATACCCATTGGCCTTTGGAACGTACTCCTAACATACCTATTCTTTGGGGAAAAGAAAAGGAACAAAATTACTAGAGAGAGATGACAGCTGGTTTAGTTTAATAGTCTTCTGTCTGCCAGATCCTTAAATTCACCTGGTTTGTTAAAGAGGGTTTTAAAATCTTTATGTGCACAGCCCTGCAGCATCTGTGAATTGCGTTCAGATAGCCATCAGAGGGAGCAAAGCCTTAACAAATCCTGCTCCCAGAACAAGTTTCTGCCTTTCCTTCCTCCCCAGAACTTCATGGGAATTCACCGGCTGTTCTGAGTGGCCAAACATTTGGGCTCTGAAATGGATCTCGGAGGACTCCTGATAACACTGGGTTTTCTAAATACGGAGTCCTGCTTCTTTATCCTAGCTTACATACTCAATTGCCTTGAATTTACAGTTGACTGTCCGTTTAGGAATTATTCTTAACTCACAGTATATTTTCCCCAAATAGAACAAAGAAGAACTGGGAGAATCTATCGAATTCTCTTAATTTAAAAACAAAACTAAAACCTTTGCTCTGATAATAACTCTTCTGAAAGCAAGCTGCTTTATCAGTCAAGCGTGTTCCAGGCAAGAAGTCTGCAAGGCCTGTTGATAATGGCAGCTAATGACCCAATTAATTTGAATAGCTGTAGTGAGGTTTGCCAGTCATATTTATTTCTTAGCTTGGGGCAGATCCAGATCTGCTCAGGATAGACACATTACTTGTAAGTGCTCAGAAAGAAGTGAAAATAGAAAATATTTTGTCCTGAAGTATTCTGTTCCTTTTCTGCCTTGTGAGGCGTCTTCCTGAATTCAGTTTTCTTATCATAAACTTAATGGCTGCTCATCATGCTAATCTAAGAGCATTGCTCCAATTGACTGAATTTTTCAGACCAGGTAGAAAGCTATCCCTGAAGTGTCACTGTTAACTGGATCATTTAAAAAAAAATTTTAGAGAGTGCTTCTGCAATATGAATGTCTCAACTAAAAATTAATTTGAGGTTTTCTGTCCTCCTTCCCCCTTGCAAAAAAATAATTGTAAAAGTTTGGGAAGAACAAAGTAAAAAAGCTAATATTGAGAGTGGAATTAAATCGGTATTTTCTGTCTTGATTAGCATTTTGAGGTGAACTAGCAAATGGATGGAGACTGCAAACAAAAGCAAAAGCAATGCAGATTGCGTTTGATTGAATTTGAGGTGCAGCCCATTGCTATTTGTCTAGACATGGCTATCGCCAAGATGTCGAGCGGTATTACTGTGACTGATTGCCAGATCACGGTGTAGATGAAGAGACAAAGGCCAGTATTCCAGCGCACGCTATGCAAGAATACTGTCACCTGAGCTTACACTCCAGAGGAAAGGCAGGAAAGTAATATAAAACTGTAATCAATGTGATGACCTCCGAGTGGAAGAGTCAATTTTCTTAACTAAATAAGCGTATAATACTGCTGGTGCCAAGATGACACAGCTTCTATAAGCAAAATTTATGAAGAGGAGTGACCTAAACACTCAAGCATTTATGGTTTGCTGGAAGAAAGGGCTAGGTGGAACAAAAAGCAAACACTGGCTTAAAAACAAACTGGACCGAGAAGTTCAGACACAGTCGAGGTTTTTTGCTTAAGAGCTTAGCTTCAGCTGTATTCCAGTACATGCACAGCTGCTTGGCTCCTAAATACTGGGCTTGTTGCAGGGCATTGATGGTAACTCACCACTTGCTTCACATGTTTAATTTGGGCAAGTTGGAACTTGGTGTTTTCAGTAGAGTTCTGCCATATCACGTAGCCAGAGGCCACCCACGCTAGCAGGTGGACAGGCTCCATTTCTGGGGACACGTTGCCGTGGCTGTCTGGCAAACAAAACGAGTAATATACATTAAGCAAGATTCACGGAGTTGCAGCCATTAACTGAACCTTATCACCTAACAGTAGGGTTTGGTACTAAAGCCACTCGCTTGCGTTCCTTGCTGTGCCAGAGACCTTCCATATAATCTTGGAGTAGCAGCTATATATCACCACGGGGTCTGCTTTCTTCCCACTTCTTGTTCTTAATGTATATTCTATAAGGTCTTCAAGGTAGGGGTTGCTCTCAAGTAAGAGCAGACCCTAGTAGTACAGTCATGGTGCCTGCTGTACTGTACAGGCAACAGCTGCAAACAGTGAGCAGGACGCTGGTAAGGGGAGCGCTAATGGCAGCAGGTGGTTTTCAGGAACAGTCACCTGCAAATCACGTGTCGGTTCGGGATGTCATGGATAGATGTGGTAGTGCTGTGATTAACACGCCACCCTGAATAAGAGAAAGGGAAGCTGGGGCTGTGGCCTGATCCCCCTCGGTCCTGGCTTGCATGGAGGGGGCTCCCATAGGGACCGTGGCCCACCGCCAGCGGAGCTCAGCTTTGCTTCTGGCCGTGGAGGACACCGTCTCAAAAACTTCCTTCTCACCCAAACCCCTTCTTTGTACCTGGTATGTTTTCTGCCACAAGCTCTTTTTCCAGGCTCTTGATTCGATTGTAGAATATGTTATCTGCTTCCTCTGCATTCTTAAGTTCTCCTTCAATTGTGAATTGCACATCTGGAGGAATGTTGTTGCCCAGATGATAAAGAACTTCAGCAGTGCAGTTAACAGTACTGTCCTGTTACCAAGTTAATTACATGTATTAATATTTGATTAAATACATGTTTAATATTGGTAATTTGCACTTCTAAATTTTTTTTTTCTAAATGTAGTTGTCGTTTTCTCTGAGTCTGGCCTATAGAGATTTGTGATTATTTAAGACAAGGTTAAATTCGCAGTATTTGTGTGGCTATACTATAAGGGCAGTTCTCTTTCTGCAGTGCTAGAAAGGGCAATGTTTGTGGTGCAGAATGTCACTTGTGCTATTCAGTTGGAGTAATGGATTTAAATAACTTCAGTTTGAAATTGAATGACACTGAAACGTCCTTGTCATCCCTCAAGTGTTTCCTTGTGGTAGGTACCACGTGTTTGGGGCTTCTATGGGGTAAGAAATGGGGGGTCCCTTTAGGTAAAACTGAGGTGGGATTTTATTTTCCCTGCCTGATTTGCAGTATAGAAAAATCTGAAACGCAAAACCAATTATTATTAACTGGTGTGTTCACTGGCCTCAGCTAGATCAGCAGCATAAAGCGATGGCTTTTTATTACGCATCAGTAGTGCCAACTTCTGCCTGCAGAAGGTATTAATTAAATAAATCTGAACTCACTTTGTCAAGGAGGTCTTCCAACACCAATTCTAGGTGGTACTTTTGCCCGACACCATCGATATCCTAAATAGGGAAGACATTAAGAACATTTTGTAAAATGTTGAATTACTCTGCCTTGTGGAAAATATTCTAGTTATTGTGAAACATGCTGCAGCAGTGCTATTCTCTGTAGGGCCCATACAGAGCTCTTTTTTATTGCTATTCTAATATTCTTTAATTTATGTCTTCCTGCTCATTTAATACGCACTTGGTGTAGCATCTGATGAGTACCTCCTCATCCACTCCTAGTCTTGTATTACTACTTAATTGCCTGTTTGGGCAATTCGTGTGATTCTGTCCAGCAATGCCCTGCTTGGTTAAATACCGAGGGAGGAGTCTTCACTGGGCTCCTGACAGTAAGTCCATGTTGCACTTCATTATGAATTGTATCACGTCGTAGATTTTTTTGGCCATCTAAAATAAGGCCTTAAGCAAGCGGGTTGGTTTTGCTAGAACCCCTGTTCTAGCAGGTTTACCAGCAAATCCAGGTCACCAG